CAGTAGGGCTTTTCTGTGCCCATTGGTGGGGGGACAGGGGAGTATAAACAGGCATATGCCTACAATTAGGAGTAGTGGTAGGTAGGTAGTGTGAGGTGAAATCGAGAGAAAAAAAAAAATAAAAAATACAGGCGTTACAAGGTTGGGGGTGGCCTATCGGTAGTTTCTTTATAAGTCTGTCGATCTTCGATTTAGGAATTCTGCGCCGAATCTGCGGTGATCCTCAGCCAGAAAAGGTTTGATTTTTTCATTTTCCTTTCTATCTTCAACTCATGAGTTCTGATGTGACCCTGCAATGCATATAACCTCAGCCAAAGGTTATATGCATTGCCAATATGCAATTCTAAACATTTCTTTTCCAGAAATGTTTTTTGAGGAATTTTTCTTGCCCCTACTGCTGTGGGTGGGGCTTCCCAGGACCCTGGCCGACGACCCTGCCAAGGTTTCATTTTCCAATTTTCAATTTTCTTTTCTACCTTTGATTCATTCAGGAATTCCGATGTGACCCTCAGCCAAAAGTTCGTTCGCACCTTCAAATTGCAATACCAAACCTTCTTTTTTTTCCAGAAATGTCTTGAGCTCCCCCCTCCTCTTCCCCCCCCCCTCTTTGCTCTCGGGCTGCCCAGGACCGTAACCGGCGATCCTGACAAGCTAAATACATAAACCAAAGCCACGTCCAGGATCCGAATGAACAAACTGAGAGGAAAAAAAAAAAGTAGTTTTGTCATACTGACCTGAAATGACTGTGTCTCTCAGAGCCCGTTGCATGCGAGTGATTGCCTTCTCACGAGTGGGTGCCCAGACAATGAGCTGCAGACATTCAAAGGTAATCCATCCAGGTCATCAAAAGTTATGAGAACAAGTCCTATAGAAATGGAAGCGTAAGGTCCTTCTGGACATACGTTAAAATTGGAACGACACAGAGAGAGAAGATTAGCATGGCCCCTGCACTTTCAAGGATGACACACATTAATCGAGAAATGGTCCAAATTTAATAATAATAATTAAAAAAAAGGACATTTACTGTAAAGTCATTGACTAGGATATGGCGATGATTAAAAAGTTGACGTGCTGCAGGAATAGTAGGTGCCATTCCATTAGAGAATAAAAAATTATTATATTATTATTTAGAATATTGTATTACACTGTAAATTATATTTTAAGTTTTTATATACTATAGCATAGGACATTCAAGCCTGTCATTCTCTTTCCTGGTCCACAGGTTGGCCAGTGGACCAGCATCTTGAACAAACATTCATAGAAAAGAAAGACCTGGTTTCCTGGTTTGCGACTCGGCTCCCAAGAAATTGTGTCCCCGCATGTGTATTGAGAGAAGCATGCACGATCGATGTCCAAAGTGGACAAAGCTTTTACAATATCCTGATTGTAGGGAGAAACAATGACAAAACAATCATTCGTCCTGTAGACCAGGAGAAATCATTCTCACAGTACCCAGTCGAGACTCAAACAATCAGAATACAAAAAATGAAAAAACGGAGATGCTAGACTGTAGACACCAAACTTCTCGCCTGTTTCAGTGGGGGCTCACAACATCTCATCACTGCCCCACTTCCACTACACATTTGTGGAGCTGCTCTCTCTCTCTCTCTCTCTCTCTCTCTCTCTCTCTCTCTCTCTCTCTCTCTCTCTCTCTCTCTCT